CAGAAACATAAACAGATTGCAATACACGATAAAGTCTTTGGTGGATGTTAAGACAGACATTTGTCTGTCTGTCTGTTTTTTTTGCTGGGTGAAAACTACATTTGATACGTTCCAATTACTAAATTATGCAGTTAGGAGCTCTTTCCAGCTCTTTGCCGCTCTTTCGATGTGAAAATCATTCAGCTGGAAGACTGCACACACTCAGGCCAGAGAAACGGAGCCACCAAGCGCCAAGATTAAAGAAATCTCTGCCGTTGCTTCTACCTACCTCTGCTCCTCTGCTGCTCTCGTCTAACCAAAAACAAGCAACAAAGATAAAACCAAATAATGGTTAAGGTTGAGTGAATTACGGGGGATACTCTCCACAGAGAGACACAGTAAAATAAAGCAAATTAAAATTGTGGCAGCCAAATAGCTATGGCAAACGAAATGAAAACAACAAAAAAAAACCAAGAAAATTGTCGCTAATTAGAAAATGGAATTTTACAATTTAAGAAAAAAACCCAAATGAAGACATTTTCTGGGTTACCAGCAGACAATCTGTTGGATTTATAGAACAGCAAAAACACTCTCAGCAGAACAAAAAACAACTTTTAGCTAGGAAACTTTCAAGAAAATCTTGCAGAAATAATAGAAATAGTGTTAGACATTGAAAAGGGTTTCTTTCCCTAAGAACTGCATCATTCAAGGCCATTAGAAGCCTCCCTCAGAGTGTCAGCTAAACTTATAAGACAAAAGTCTTTACAAAGCTTTTCAATATGCGAAAAAAAATGTTCAAATGAATGCTAATTCACTTTGCCTCAGCCTGAGGCAGCTCTTTCCCTACTTTCCTTCTTTAATTATTCTGTTTTCAGCAGCTAAAAGTCTTTCCAACTTTTTAAAAGCAAAAATAAAAATCAACTTTTGTCTCGCTGCTCACAAGACTTTTTTCTATTGAGCAATAGGCTAGAAAATTAAAAGGGGTTTGTGAGGTAAACTTCGTGCAAATAACAGCCGCTACTTCTTCAGAGATCTGCATCAGAGATTTGAAAAGCAGGGGCCGTGCAGCAGCCAAATCTTCACCCTAGTGTACGCTTCCATACACTACATTTTTATGTCAGATCTTGGACTGCTGGACTACCTGATAGTCACTGATAGCCAGATCGAATACCAGACATTGGCACATAAAATCATCGCTGATCCAAGCTGTTATGTTTAGAAATAATCAAATAAGTAAGCTAAGTGTGTGGGCTACAGCATTTCGATTGCTCTATTAGTTTTATGGGCACGTCTTGCACCTGCTGCTTGAAGCACTAAACAACCATTTGTTTCAGATATTTATTGCTAGTTTTGCAAATGCTTTGCTAGTTTGCCTCTCCCACTGGCCACAACAATATCCTCCCTTATTGTTGCAGCTCCATCTGCCCTAATCGATGCTTATGTGCGTGACTGTTTTTGTGGGAAATTGAGCCAAACATCAATGTTATTTATGGCAGCTTTTGCCAGTTATGTTATCTCTGCCATGTATGGGTCTCATAAATCCCAATAATTGCTTTCTTTGTCTGCCATTGGGCATCTTTTGGGATTTACATATTCGACCCAAAAAAAAAAAAAAAACAATCAATGCCATCAAATGGCTCTGAACTCGTTTCAAAGCATTTACTTAGCTGCGAGCATTTCATGTGCATCTATTTTTGGGCTAAAAACATTGAACTCAAACATTGAACCCCCCCCCCCAAACATCAAACATCAAACTCGTAGATGGGCAAAAATATAAAACCTGCACAAATCAAACACACAGCAAAAAACTGACGACATCTAAGGCAACCTGTTGCTCTGCTCTGGACTCTAACTTGTAGCTGTTGATAGTTTATTTTATTGTTTTTAATCTCAATCAATCAGTTTCAGAGCCAATGAGAATTTGATGATCCGAGTGAGAAGTGGCAGTGGCAGTGGCTGCTTTGGGGTCTTGCCATTGACATTTTGAGTGGGTATAAAAAAGAAAAAAAAAAAATAGAATCATCTTTCAATTGACGTCAGCCAAATGGGGTACTCTCCGGAGCATATTCTATATATAGATTGGACAGCATTGCACTGGGAGTTGCCACAGCCCCCCAAAGGGCATATAAATTTGCAAATGGAGAGGAAAATAATCTTCACATTACTTTTTTGCTGGCTCTTTGGGGGCCACTCATAAATCTGTTCAAGTTGCCCAATTTAATACTGATTTACGAGAGTCCCTCCAATTAGGAGTGGGAGTGGGAATGGGAGTGGCAGTGGCAGTGGCAGTCTGAGAGCCAATATTGCTAATCAAATATTGATTTTGTACGCTAAGCCGCTAAGCTCTCGTGTGTGCATTTAGTTGGCCCAATCAGTGGCCGCAGCAGCCCACTGGCAGCCACTTCAAACAATGAAACTAATTAAGATCCCCTTGGCTGAGGTGGCTCACGCTCCAGCCATCATCCATCAGCCATCATCATTAGTCCGATGATGATGATGAGGACAGGACAAAATCGGTTATGAAAATGCCCAAAATTTCCCATGGATTTTCCACCCACAATGCATTTCCGTTGGCAGCACGTTACTTCACGTTGCCTGTTCCTTGGGCTTGCCAATCCTGTGTTTACGCTGCGTATACGTAATCGGGTTTGTTTGTGCCGGAGTTTCGTCCGGCAATGCTTGAGGGGCCCAGCGTAGCAGTGTTTGAGGCTGGCTTTGAATTGCTAATTGTGTTCAGATTTTCATGAAATTGACTGCAAATCGAAAGGATGTGCATGTGCAATGGATCGCTCAATGGAAGTCACTCTGAGGGTTCTCATTGTCAGAAATTAATCGAGTTTGTGTAGTTAATGGAGCCAGTTTCAATGCAGAGAAATTACACACAGAAATTGCGGCAATAAAACTGGAAATTAACACAGAATGTTGCAAAAATTAGTAGTCAAGTTTTATTTTAATTTAATATTTATTTTCTGTGTTTATAATTTTATTTTTGAGTAAGGATTAGTAGCAGTAGCGAGCCTCGCAATAGCCGAATGTACAGCGTTCAGTACAAACGAATTTCTTATGCACAGCCAAGTCCGTTTCAAATACTTTATTACGCCACACCGTGAAAGGATTTCAGTCAGAGTCAGCCATTCTTAAAGCTCCATCAGCACAAAATTCCAACTCAATCAATAAAAATAAAACCCAAACAGCTGCTGAGCAAAATAATTCCTGCAGCCCAATTTGAAGGCACTTTGCTACGGCTGACTGACCGACTAGTGACCATCCCCAAATTGACAAATGAATCATTTCACTTTGCTAAACACTGACCCAATTTTGAGGCTCCCAGAGAGCGCATAGACTGTTATCCCGAGTTGATTATTAATTGCTCCTTTGCCTTGAGTCTATTTGTCATGCGTGTTGCCTTGGCTCTTTTGTGGCTCTTCGAACTCTGATTTCAGTTGGCTGACTTTGCCACTTTTGTGTGTGTGTTTGCGTTGAATGCTGCGTGGATGCGTGATTTTAATTTTAAGTGAACCATTCTTTATTTCTTGGCATGCCCCAGCCCCATGCCATTTCGTTTGCAGCTTTCGTTGTACTGTGTGGCACGTGAGCTCGGCCCTGGAACGTGCTGCCTTTTAGCGACAATTTTAAACGCATTTTTAACACTTACCCCGCTCCTTGTGCTCTACGCTTTTTCGCTTCTTTTGTGAGCCCTATTTTTTTTCTTGCGAGAGAGAGAGAGAGATTCATTTGATATGCCAGATTTCACTTGACAGCATTTGGCATTTTAAATATTTCGTGCATTTGGCTCGGTTGTGCTGCTTCGGTTCTGTTTGCACTGATAAATTATTTAGAATGTACTCAGATATAGCCGGGCTGTGTCTGTGTTTTTTTCTCACCCACTCTCTCTGTCACTCTTACGCTGTTTCTATAGACTCAATAGAGTCCTGCCAAGGAGTTGTGTGTGAAAGGGGAGCTCAATTTTTTATGGTCTCAAGGTTATATTGAATGTCTGCTTGGCTGCGAGGCATTGATATGCCTTTCGTGTTGTCTGCGCTTTTGTTTCTTTTTCGATAGAACCACAAAAGCCAGACACATTGTCATATGTTCATTCCTGGCGGCTAGTCAGGGTTGTTCTTGCGGTTTGTTGGTTCGGCATTAAGTGACTTTTATAAGATTTCCAGGACTGGGTTACATTCACAATTTTAATGTTCTATTAACAGCTAAAATATCCCGTAAATATCTAGTAAATATCTAGTAAATATCCAGTATATAACCACTAAATATCCAGCTATATTTCAGATAAGTACAAGGCATTAGATTAGGCATTCAAGTAACCCTTGCTGCTGCTGCTTCTTTATGAGTATTTATCGACGCTTGCGAGCACATACACCATAAATACACACTGAATGAACAGATTTGTGTAGCCACAAAATGAACTCAGCCAGATAAATGTCTTAGCCTAGCGAGTCCTTGTAGTCAACCCTTTAAAGATTCACCAAGTTCTGTGCCCTAAAAGGTTTTCCATGTTACGTATTTAAGCAGAAGTCCACGAACGAAGCTCGGACATTGTTTAAACTGGGTCGTGGTCGTGGTCGTGTTCGCTGCTGCTGGGCTCCTGGTAACATTTGCCATTTATAGATTATTAATCTTAAAGCCAACACGAAAAGCAATTCCAAATGGTTTGGTTTTAGTTGCTGTTGCTGCTTCTGGGTGTTCTCTGCTCGGTGTTTCTGTTCCATTCTGCTCGGTGTTGCTGTTGTGTTATATTGTGCCTGTGGGGGAAACTTTGGCAGAACTTTGCCATAAACCTGCACGAAAGTACCCCACCCACCCACACCCCCATTCAACCTATTTTATATCCTTTTGCAACTCCACAATTTCCACTCACAATTGCTCTCAGCTGAGTTGAGTTATTGCCCCCGAAACGGAGCGTCAACGCTCCGCCGGACGTCGCCAATGTGGCGCAGATTAAAGAAATAAATTAAAACACTTGTCTCCCTTTTCTCTCTCTCTGTTTGTGTGTGTCCCTTTAGGTGGAAAATCGTGCACTGCGGCTACGTGAGGTGGCAACGGCCATGCAGCAGCAGCAGCAGTACCAGGACGACTCCTCGTCGGTGGCAGCAGCGGCAGCAGCAGCTGGCGGCGCATCCACAGTCCGGCTCTGGGCACCAGCCGGTGGCGGAGTGGGCCTGGGTGTTGGCAGTGGGGCCGATGATCCCGGCGGCAATGTCATTCTAATCGGTTCGGTTAAGGACTTTGAGCGCAATGCGGTCCATGGCCTCAAACTGAATGGCATTGTGGCGCTCGAAGAGACGTCGCAGGTGAGCACTGAATACTCGCTCGCTCGCGAGTCCCTCTTTAGCTTGGGGTTTACCTTCTTTATGTTGCTTTAGGCACACAGCGGCGGGGGCGGACGACTGCCAATGGCACCCAGTGGCCGTGGCGGCACCACCGAGGTGGAGTACTTCGATGAGGCGGGCTACATACGAGCGGGTGCATTGCGCAACGGGGAGGATCCCTACATTAGGAATCGCTTCAATCAGGAAGCCAGCGATGCACTGCCCAGTAATCGTGAAATACCCGACACCAGGAATCCAATGTGAGCCAGAAACTGAGACTGAGGGAGTGTTGGAAACTTACTAATTGAGGGGATAAAACCTCTTTCCCTTTACCAGGTGTCGCACCAAGCAATATCGCGAGGATCTGCCCGAGACTAGCGTCATTATCACCTTCCACAATGAGGCGCGCTCCACGCTGCTGCGCACCATTGTCAGTGTGCTCAATCGCAGTCCGGAGCATCTCATACGCGAGATTGTGCTGGTGGATGACTTCAGTGATCATCGTAAGTAGATGTCAGTGTGGATATTCCAGGGCGGCGACTCATTTAACTCCACCCACAGCTGAAGATGGCCTGGAGCTGGCCAAAATCGACAAGGTGCGCATCATACGCAACGACAAGCGTGAGGGTCTGGTCAGGTCGCGGGTGAAGGGCGCCGATGCCGCCGTCAGCAGTGTGCTCACGTTCCTCGACAGCCACGTGGAGTGCAACGAGAAGTGGCTGGAGCCGCTGCTGGAGCGGGTGCGCGAGGATCCGTCGCGGGTGGTGTGTCCCGTCATCGATGTGATCAGCATGGATAACTTTCAGTATATCGGCGCGTCGGCCGATTTGCGTGGCGGCTTCGATTGGAATCTGATCTTCAAGTGGGAGTATCTCAGTCCCGCGGAGCGTTCGGTGCGTCACAACGATCCGACCACGGCCATTCGAACGCCCATGATAGCCGGCGGCCTGTTTGTCATCGATAAGGCGTACTTCAATAAGCTGGGCAAATACGACATGAAAATGGATGTGTGGGGCGGCGAGAATCTGGAGATCTCGTTCCGTGTGTGGCAGTGTGGCGGCAGCTTGGAAATTATACCCTGCAGTCGGGTGGGTCACGTCTTCCGCAAGCGGCATCCGTACACCTTTCCGGGCGGCAGCGGCAATGTGTTTGCCCGGAATACGCGACGTGCCGCAGAGGTCTGGATGGATGACTACAAGCAGCATTACTACAATGCCGTGCCACTGGCCAAAAACATTCCATTCGGCAAGTAAGTACAACGAAGGGGAAGCGGCAAAGGGCAACATAAACAGCAGCTAACTTATTTATTTGAAATTGTTTGCTCTCCTTGCTCTCTCCTTGCTCTGCTTTCCCGACGTGTCTGACTTGCAGCATTGACGACCGTCTGGCTTTGAAGGAGAAACTGCATTGTAAGCCATTCAAGTGGTATCTGGAGAATGTGTATCCCGACCTGCAGGCCCCCGATCCACAGGAGGTTGGCCAATTCCGACAGGATGGCACCGAATGCTTGGACACAATGGGCCACCTAATCGATGGCACTGTGGGTGAGTAACAGCACTTTTGTACCAAATAAAATGTATATTTGTATGAATGCGAAAGGTTTCGTTCACTTTCCCTTGAAACTAGCTGGCAAGCAGTTTACTGCTGCGCTTTGCCTTGACATTGACTGGCAAGCAGTGTACTGCTTAAACCTGCTGCGCTTTGCCTTGACATTGACTGGCAAGCAGTGTACTGCTTAAACATGCTGCGCTTTGCCTTGACATTGACTGGCAAGCAGTTTATTGAGCCTTTTGGTTAATTTCTGCCATGTCATTTATGTGCCGTTCTCTTTTCGCCCGCAGGCATCTTCCCCTGCCACAATACGGGCGGCAACCAGGAATGGGCATTCTCGAAGCGCGGCGAAATCAAGCACGACGATCTCTGCCTGACACTGGTGCAGTTTGCACGCGGCTCCCAGGTGGTGCTGAAGTCGTGCGACGAGTCGGAGAACCAGCGCTGGATAATGCGGGAGGGCGGCCTGGTGCGACACCACAAGATCAATGTGTGCCTGGACTCGCGCGATCAGACGGCACAGGGCGTGAGTGCGCAGCACTGCAATTCCGCTCTCGCCACGCAGCGCTGGTCGTTCGGCAAGTATGCGTGAGAGCGAAAGCTGACTGACTAGGCTGAACGCTGTCGAGAGAGAGAGAGATAAAAAAAGGAGAGAGCGCGGGACACAGTGATATTTGTGCAAGTGGATGGAAGAGCAAGAGCAAGAGGAAGAGGATGCCTACCTAAACTCTGTGTGGATTGCATGTGGATTGTATGTGTATTGTATGTATTCGTAATGTTTTTACCCATGTTGATTTGTTGCTGAACATAAAACACACACACACACACCCATAACTACATAAATTATGCGCCTACATTTAAACGATAAGTTCAACTTTAGTTAAAGAGGGTTCAAACACCATTTCCTCCTGGGGGTTAAAAGCTACATCAAAACGACAACAACAACAACAACAACAAATATATGAAATGCATACACAAAAAATGTACTTAGACTGATTAATTTTTTTGTATGATGTATACAAAATATGAGTATATGAAAATGAAATAATACTTACTATTAAAATGATGTAAAACTTTTGGCAGCTGCTTGACAAACAAACAAACAAAACAAAAGAGAAAAATGTAAACTAATTTTTTGCATAACATTCCAAACGGCACACACATTCATTCGAGTCAATTAAGGATCTATACGAAATTACTCACATAAAAAAAATAAATAGCCTAGCACACACACACACACACTCACACACACACATGCTCAGAGTCTTCTCAACTTTGTACTTAACAAAACAAAAAAACAAACAAACATGAAATGTTATCATTAGTTTTAGTTATACACCTAAGTGGAAAAAATCATTTGAAATCATTGAAACCTATGTATGTATATATAATGAAAAAAAAGGAAAATATTATTTAAATGTTTATCAAACGCCAAATAAATTGAACATTTCGATTGTATACGTACGAGTATATGTATATTGAATATATTTTACGCGAATCGAAAAGAATTGAATTGAATTGAATGTCTCTTTTTGTTATTATTTCTAATGCATAAATCATTTCCAGTAATCAAAGGAAAATATTATATATACGAATATACTTTTTATCAGACATGACGCATAGTTTTTCTATTATTTTCGCACTCTTCTTTTTTTTTTTTTTGGTTCTTTGTGTGACAGGAAAAGCGTGAATGATTTGAAAATAAAAAAAAAGTGGAAAGCAGATAGAAAAAAGAAAACCAAATATTGTTTGTGGCTTGTACCCAATGAGAACAACAAAAAAAATGATGATTAAAAACATTTTTAATTTAAATCAACCATAAATGCAACAAAAACAAAACAAAAACAAAAATAATAAACGAAACAAATTCCAAATAAAAAGTAAATGTGCAAATGACTTTATTCTATTTTATTTTAGTCTGTGATATGGGGGCCCATGGCGGGGATTTGGTGGGACACAGGCACCGGCACAGAGGCACATCTGCCATCAAATCTGGCCCAAGTACTTTGACTGCTCTGTATGTAGGTTAAACGACTTAACTTTCAACTCCGAAATGGCATGGCATGACATGGCAAACAAACGAAACGCAGAAATGAAGGCAGATGAAAACTTGGCACATTACGCATACGTCACGTGTGCCCCATACACGAAAACGAAACGTAAGAGCTGTACATACACAAGAGTTCGTTGCGCTAATTTTTGTATTACTCGTACTTAAAAATGGCACGGAAATGCTGAAGCGCTGAAATTGTAAGACATTGTAAAACAGGGCCAAGGCTGCTTCAAAATGTTTTTCCTCATTTTTGGGTATTTTAGGGCGCCATTGGAGGAGCTACAGGATTAGGTACGTGTACACTGAACGAGTATGTGCATGCGCAGCATAAAGAATAACATAAAATAAAGTGTTCTCCTCTTTAGCTATTCCCTCAGCGCTAAGCCAAGACGGTAGGTTATTCCAGAAAGTAGCTGGGAGAAATTTCCTGATGGATATGCTACTGGAAATAGATGCTACAAAAATTGAGCTAGCAAAATGCATCATCGTAATGTTTTTATTTTGTCCTTGCATTATGCAAATTCTTCAACTGAAGATGGATTTACGGTTGGGGAATGCAAAAATGTTTTTTTCTTTTCCGAAATATATTGGAGAATATTAAGCAGTCATATCGCAAATGGATTTTCCACGGAAAGCGGAAGGATCTCTTAATAATTTCTATAGCACTGTGCTTGACAGATTTGCAGCCCAAGAGATGCTCCAAGGAAAGACAGTTAATGGGCATAAAGGGACGCTGTCCTTGATGCAGGAAAAATCTGACAGAATTTCTCTTGCACTGCGTCAATGTGTAAAGTTCAAAGAATACAGGAACATATCCAAGGCAAATGGAGCCGCCAACAGCAGCTCGTTAACCAGGACAAGCCCCCACGACTTTGGCTCGAAGGAAATCATAGAAATGCAGCGAAGAAAAGTACGCACAGCGAAGCAGCCGGAAGACAAACCGATTTCCGTGCCAGAAGCCGCCGAACGGAAGCCGAACTCGACACCCGGCCTCAGGTGGGGTAGGTGTGGCAGCTGTGCAGGCGACAAGGTTAACCCCCAAGTCAGGGAAATCGCTTATGCGGCTCCCCACATCAGCCCCAGCCCACACAACCCTGCCACATACGCGCATGTAAGGTGGAAAATTGTTGAGGCGGGTCTCGCTTTTATTTGTGTGCGTGCGGGTAGACAGGTGAATAACAGTTTCTGCCCCTCCTGCTGCCTGTTAAGACAGCGTGTGTGTGTCGGGCATACGTGAAAAGCCAACCAACTGACTGCCTCTCACTTGGTCCGGACCGCAGACCTGACCTGGCCAGAGCCGACTTGGCTTGGCTTCGCTTGGCAAACATTTTGCAGCTTCCTTTTGCGCCTGTGTCGCTTTCGTCGCCCCCTAGCAGAGCAGATGCTATCGGCAGTTTTTTCCGCTTCCGCAGTTTTATCACGGGGCATCGACTTTTCCCCGCCCAGCCGCCAATATTTATACGCGCCCCGGGCAATGCTTGGAGCATATCGGACTGCTGTGCGCTGCGCAGCATTCAACGACTGATTGACAGTTTTGTTAATGACTTTAGTACCCCCAATTCAGTCACTTTAATTACTACATCAGTTGCTGGTGGCTTTACTTTTTTTGTTTTAATATTTTTCACTAGTTTAAATTTACTGCTCGTAGCTGTGGCTGCTAAAACTCTGATATTACTCGACTGTAAATACAAAAATTTAGCTCTTAAATATGCAGTCATTTATTGCTTGCAACAGAAAGTTTTGTATTCAGTTTTCGCATTCTACCTGTCTGTGTCTCTGTCTCTCCCCATTGGAGTTATCAAATATTTCTGCTACTAATTTCTTATTTATTCTGTTGAGCAGTTTTGCCGTAGAGTTTGCCAGCCGTAGTTCCAGTTTAATTACCACTTTCCTGTTAGTTCTAGTGCTGTCCCTTCTAGTTTCGTTGTCTGCTGGGTGTCGCCGTCAGTCGAGAGCCATCCTGCTGCTGGAGTGGCAGATACTGACACTGCCACTTACACGTACACGTACACACATGTCCTGTCTGCATGGTAACGTAGTCTCTGTCTTATGTCATTGTCGGCTTACGTGGCGTGTTAATAACATACCCTATCCATCGCTCTCTCCATCTTTCTGTCAATCAGTTGACATTATGCAGCACAGGCTCAGAGGTTCACAAGCAACAGCATTGAGTTGGAGTGGAGAGCATAGGCATATTGGCTGGCTTGGCTCTTATAATTTCTTTTGGCTAGTTTTTGCATTAATCATTACCTCATGCACATGGCCCTCTGGACCTAAGTAATGGCTCGGCCCTGTCGCTGCCAGACTGTCGCCGTAAGCATAATTAACAACACGTTAGAGAGCGCCGGCCAAGCGCTGGACGCTGATGATGATCACAAATATTATTGCTTGGGCTGGGGAGAGTTATAAAGCTGTACGAAGGGTAGAAACAATTAAATTCCGACCAAGTGCAGCGTTAACAGCTGCTGTAGCAGTGCTAAACGCTTCCAACCATAAATTAAAAATTAAGCAAAACCAATGGGACGCACAACATGAATCCTATCGCAAAAATTAACATTTAATCAGACAATAAGAAATTATTTCATTATTGCCATTGTATTTTGGGGAAAATCAATAGGCGTTTGCCTAATCTTTCCTTTTCATTCATACTGCGAACAAAATGCGAATGCAAATTACTTCTTTATTATTGTTGTCTGTTGCCTGTTGCCTGTTGTCTGGGCTGCTGATTATTCAGCACCCAAATTTGGCTCGCATAAGCGGATTACTTCACTCTGATTTCTTGACATTGGCCGGGGGTGGGGGGTGAGGGCATTGTAAGCATTTCATCAACCAAAGTAAGTAATTACAATGATGCTGCAACTGATGAATACCCTCTGATATACCCTCCTTAGTAATCTTTTATTTGAGAAATAATTACTTAATAAAATAGAATTAAAACAATATTTTAGGGTGTCTAACAAACCTTAAAAAAAATCTGCGAAAATTGGAAATTCTTCCTTGAAGTATATCTGCTGCCAAGTCCTAGTGTATACTCGTGATCCCCATGACTACAGGGTATTAAAGACAACCTATAAATCAGCTTAAATTTACACTTTGCACAAAACTTTTGCAAAATGTCGCGACAAAAAAGTTGACACAGCTGTTTGTCCTGCCATTTATCCTTCGCCACTTTGTGTGTGCGGGTGTGCCTGCAAATTATTTGCGTGAATGCGTGTGTGTAATCGATATCCAAATCGGCTTAGCTTAATTATGTTCTCTATTTGGTTATTGAGTGTTGCCCATTAACAATGCAAATGATAACAATTTGGTGCTTATTTTGCGCTTTACAATTGATGGAACAAGGCAAGGAAAATTCCTTGCTAATAATTCCTTAATATAAATATGGTTTGTGTTTTTTTTTGTGCCCCCTTGGGCAGCTGGGAAAAAATCGTTTCCATGGAAAACAATATTCCTCCAATCAGGAGAATTCATTAATATTTAATGGGCCCTAAATGAGTGCGTAGGTTGCGAAAAAAATATATATTATTTTTCGCATAATTGGGTTAAGTGAGGGGAAGCTGCTGCCTGCAAATTGAGCGAAATATTCAATGAATATGCGGGGAATAAAATCAATGTGAACAGATACGGGGCAAGTTAATAGGCTGAAAGTGTTTTTGGGCTGCTTACATAAATAATAATTAACTAATGGAATGATGTGCAAAATAATAAGACTGATGCTGGATACACGGCAGTGTACTGTGGTGCTGATGAACGCCCAAAATAAACGTAAAATGTAGTGCCATGTTCTCTTTTATTTCCTTCTTCGATTAACTATCTGTTACAAATATTCTATCGATTAGCTCTGCCCCCATAAAGCGTTTGGGATGCTCGAAAGTAAACTATTATTCGAATGCGCCCAGAAGCAGGCAATGCTTTTTTCTCCTGCGGCACACAAGCACGCACGCACACACACACGATATGGCTGGGCTGACAGAAGCCAAAACTTGTTTTGACAGCAAACAAATACTCTCAGCCAAGCGAAGCCAAGTTGGCGCCCATTGTCTTGACTCATAACGTACGAAACTTTCGCCTGGCTTTCCACCTTTGTGCCAGTCTTTTGTTTTATCTCTCTCCGACTTAATTGGAAAGCATGAAGACACAAAAACACACACACACACACACCAAGTGAAACGTGTTGGCATTAAAACACGCACGACCAGGAATAACAAACAAATAAACGAACACACGAACACACGAACAACAATGGCTGCCAAAATGTTTGTCCTCAGCTTCCGTTCCAGCGAGTGGCTTCAGCGGAATGCTGTATACATAATTTGCGAATGTTGTTCTAAGTGGCTACTCGACAGCTGTTTATGGGTGGGCGAGGGAGTGGCAGTGGCAGTGGCATTTAATATTTCGGCATTACTTACCCACTCTGCAGCCTTGTGTAGCGTGTTCAGCCTGCCATATGCATAGTTAATATAAATAATGGCAGCCATCAAAATTTGTCCTGCATATCGGACAAAATGTGAGCAACAGTTGACTACTGGCAGACCATAAAAGATATCAAACAAGAAGCTTAAGCCACACACTCAAGCTGCGGTTAGCTTGGAGCTCCTTCCGCATTTAACGACAAATAAAATACATAACTTGTGTGGATGCAGATTAAAGGCAAGCTGCAAAATTGCGCAACTTAATTTGCCAATGCCATTCCACCCGCAGCAATCGTAGGAGCCTTTTTCGGTTTGCCCAATCAACCAATCGCTGCTGTGCAGAGAGAGAGAGAGCAAACACTTGAGTAAATCCCTTGCCATTTTCAGCTGACTCGTGCAACAAATTTGCAAATTGTTTGATTGTATGCAAATAAACCGCTAGAGCCGCAATTGCGAGCAAATACCAAGTACCAAGACGAGGGCAAGGATCAACGAGGAGAAGAGCGACAGCAGCAGCAGCAGGACCCTGACACCTGAGCCCAATTACGAAACTAATTAATTGAAAGCAAAGAGGCGTGAACTGGCAGACAGCCAGATAGATGGACCGCTTGGACGGTTACAAGTGCCCACTTTATGTGGGCACACCATCAATCCGGGCCAATCAACATCAAAATTCGAAATTCAAAACCTTCCAGCGAGCACTTCTCGCCGGATTGGCCAAATCAATGTCCGGTCCAGCCACAGCCAAAGTTATGGCGTGCATAAAAGTCAACGTCAATGATAAATGAAGCCAGAGCCAGCGCCCCAGTTGTCGGCATTTGCATACCGATGCATACATAATGGCCCCAGAAGAAAGATGCACAAGGAGCTGACTCTCAAGATGCCCATGGCAGGCAGCACAAGTGGAGTTGAAGTACTCCTCTTCCTTTGGCTTTTCGGCTGGATATTGCACAAAGATGCTGCAAGAAAAATACGTATTCCATTTGCAAAGCGACATGAATAAGCCACCGGACGAAAGGATAACAATGTCAGTGACACATGAGCAGCGAAACGGAACGAAACGCAAAAGCGAAAAACGAAAAACGAAAGAGGAAAAAGTAAAAAACCAACAAATAGTCGAAGCAACGAAAAAGGGGAATGGCAAAAGAAAATTCGCTGATGCAAATTTAATACTCTTCAAGCCAAGATTATTTCGAGAGGAGAGAGAGCCGCAGTTGCAGCGCAGCGGAGCGGCTTTTTGTTTTTGCCTCGACTCGTTTTTGTTCTCAAATAATTACAAGAGTGGGAAAAAACTAGGTTCAACAGGTTACTCAGGCATAACTAAAAAGAAAAAAAATGATTTTAAAAATATTTAAAAAATATTCATTAAAGATTTGAAAAAGTTTAAGCAAGTCTGGCAGCGAGTCTTTCTAAATGTCGCCAATGTATGACTATTTTTAATTGAAATATATTTAGTTTGTAAAAAGTCGCGCGGCCGCTGGGACCGGGGGTTAGAACCAGAGCCTGCTTATGTAAGTTCAAGCTTACAAGAGAGAGAGAGAGATCCGTGCGGATCGTGAGAGCGAGCGCGAGCGCGAGCTAACAGAGCACTGTAACACAGAGCGCCTAGCCTGTTATGCTGTTACGCTGTTACGCTGTTACACTGTTACACTGTTAACAGCGCTGTTGCCCCGTTAGCACAGATATTCCACATATTCCAAACAAAGCAAACCTGGAGAAATACTTATATAAAATATATAATATATATGGAATTAATATTAATCTCAAAAATTGTTTCCAGAGACCTGCGCGCACAATGTGTCAATCGAATCGTTTTGATAAAATATGTACCTGGTGCTTTGCCATATGGAACATAATCAGCGGCCTAATATGGAGCATTCTGGCCATTCTCGCCCTAATCGGACACGAGCGTGCGTGCAGTTTTCCCTCTGCTGAAGTGAAAACTAACCGAATTATTGTACACTTCTAGATGGAATACACTCACGGTACTACGACATAGTCGTTTGCATCTATGCAGTTACGATCTGCATTTGTGCGCCATTGCATGTGTTGTCTGGAGTTCTGATACTGCTGGGAGATTGCAAGGTAAGTCGGGCAACCTTTTTCACTTACTTCACTACTTAATGATTTTGTTTACACTGCAGGACAGCAAATGGATGTTCACGAAGGGCAAAAATCTGAGCAATTTATTCCCAATATTTTTGCTCGGCACCGTCATATTTCCAAGTAGGTGGCCTTGCTTCCACTGGATCTGTAGTTCATTCATTGCTTATTTTTCATGGCTCTTTTTCCTGATTTCAGTTATACACTTCATTGTGCTGGCCAGGGTGTGCAGCTACTATAAACAGCGCTGGAAGTGAATCTCAATTTGAGCATCGTTTCCATTTCCATTTAACTGCCCAACCGCGCGCCTGCAGTGTTCTCCGTTCTAGCTTTAATTGATTATTAAAATAAAATGCATCGCATGCCCCTGACCTAAGAGCACGCTTAAAGTCCCTGGGAATGCAACACGCTAAATGCACACATTTAATTTAATTAATTACTCATGTATAAATACGTAAATAATTTTACTAGAGAGGTAAATAAATTTATTAGCAAGGGTAGAGAGGGATTTTCCTGCAGTCTCATATTAAAAGTGTGTTTAAAGGAGTTACCTTTAATATTTAGCTGCCAGGGTATACAAAGTTCGTGGCGTTATATACCCTCTGTTTTTGTTCATTAAAAAATCCCAAATTCGATGTGTGAATGCAATCAAAAATACGCTTCAGCGACACGAATTTAATTGGCTTTCGCTTTTTGGGTTTCAAGGTGAAAAACTAGCAAGACTTTTTTTATTTTGGTAAAATTCAGATAATCCATTTCCTTAAATAATATTTGACATTGAGAACTATATTAAACACAGCACAGGGTACGCCAATGATTGACAGTGGACAGTGGCCACACACTCTATATTCAGTGGCCTCAGTGGAGTGGCTCAGTGGCTCTCCCCTGACAAAGACTATTGGCACAGAAAAATGTGTATGCCCCCGAAGACACATTCAAAGCAGCTGAAGAAACAATGCAAGCTGTTGACACTGACTCCACAAGAATCGGAGACAGCGACGGACATGCCCAGAGGACAGACAAGTGTGTCCCCCCACAGCTGACAGTCCGAGTACAAGCGGATGAACAAGCGAAATTAATCCCTAATGCCCATGGACATATGCCAGAGAGCTTGTTGGACAAGTTGTCAAAGCTGATTCTGTCTGTCACAATGAACCTTACTGATTTCCGAGCAGCCTTAGAGGGCATAGGGAAATGATTCTAATTCAGATATTTCCCATTGTCTTTTGCATTTGCATTGGAGCTCCTCCGCTTGGCAAATGGTTTAATGAAATCAATTACCAGTTGCCTGCACCCAGCAGCCACTTTGCTCTGCGGCAAAATGAAATTAGTGCGCCTCAAGAAGTCGAAGGACGACCAGCAAAATGCAGAAGGAAAATTGAGTAAAAGATAGAAACCGCTTGCTTGTAGCAGTCGACAAATTGTTGGGCACAAGGACCTTTCTGCAAAGGTTTTTTTCCTAAGTTTCCTTTTGCTATTTATTGAGTTTTTATTGCTGTGGACTTGTGTTTTTGCTTTTCTTATGGCCAAATTGAATTTGAGCAAATATTTGCGGTGGGCTGACTTTGATTTAATATACTCTAAGCCATATCTATACTGGCATGGATGTGTGTGTGGACTGCCACTGCTAAGCGGAAAGTAATTGAGTTTTAACTGGCTGTCTTCTATGGGCAGTTTCCGAGCTCTTTTTGTTCTCTATGCCGGATATTTTGCAGCATATTAAACTCAATTTATTCAGGGAAAATAAGAGTGCGCCAATGACCGTTTCTGGTGAATTCATTTTGATTTTTCAATGCCGAAAATAATGGGGAAATTCAATCAACTTCAAAGTCATTTACAGCAGTCGGTCACATATATTTCGTGCTCTCAGTAAAGGCTTTCATTAACGCTACTCAGGTTTTCCCCAGCCCTTTCCCGAGCCTCTGCGGACTTTTCAATTTTCAATTAAAATAAATTCAGCCAAAATAAATATTTATTATATGAAATTAGTCCTGCCCATTGCTTGGACACTCCCAAATGCAGCTCAAAGGATTCTATTTCTTGACAGTTTCGATGCATGCCGGATTGCACATCATCGTCTTCGTTGTGGCTGTGCACTTGGAGAATCCCTTTACAGCTGTTGCAGTTGCAGCTGCAGCTGCTGCCTTTGCTTCAGGTTTTGCTGCTTTTTCTAATTTCTTTGCCGCATCATCCGCTCTACCCGGACAGCAAGAGTCGCACTGACAACGCGGCTCCTGGTATCCAGTTTCGGGCGAACAGGGCGGACAATTGCAGGTCCTTATCGTGTCCGCGGTGCAACAGGTTGGCGGCGTGGGACCCACATAGAACGGATTGAAGCGGCAGACCATCTTGGTGGAGGGGGCTGGGAAGTCCAAGCAAATCAGGCGGGTCAACAAATTTTGGAACTGATAATTTAGATGTTAGTTTTTTGAGTGCTTTCAAAGAGCACCACAAAAATGTCTCAATAAAGGCTTAAACGGATGACATTTATGTTCAATAAAAGTTTAAATTTTCAGTGCTTCAGCATATCCGTAGGAAACTCCAAATATGTTCCTGGCCAAATAAACAAATTACCTGCCAAATGAGCGGCCAAAGCCAGACAAAAACAAAAACCGTTGGCAAATATTTGTTCATGTTTTGCAGCTTATTAAGCTGCTGGCTGGATGGCTGGCATAGGAAGCTTAAAGCTGATTACACAACAGCAGCAACAAAACCGAAGAAAAACCCGCACAAAAATAAACATTTAATGGCGAAACAGGCGTAAAAAATCGGAGCACCAAATGGTTGAGAGGCGGTAAGCGAGAAAATAAAATAAAAGCTGTACCAAAATAGAAGGCAATAAAGCAGGGGCCAAGACGGTGAGGGGCAGGATATAGTAGGAACAGATGCATGAGAAAAGGATGCGGATAAGGAGACACAGCAGGAGGAAAGGAAAACACATGCTCGTACGTACATGAACGACTTCATTAGAAACAACGCTCGATGAGCAATAATGATAAAAAAAAAGGAAAAGGAACAGCATGAGAAAGAAACGCGACAAGCAAAAAGATGAGAGCCTGACAACGAAGAGCAGCTGGAAAGAAAATACACAAAGACTCCGCAGAGCATGTGCAAAGAAAAAAACCACCAAAAAAGTAACCCAATGACACTTACTGACAGGAATAATTATATCAAATATTCGAGATTTCATAGCGTTAAATGGAAGTGAAATATGATGCAAAAGCTCATCAGAATTTACGTTGTAAAGTCTTCATAAAGGCCGCGTTCAAGTATATTTTAATTCATATTTTTTAAAAATACTAATACATAAAATAAAATAGATATTCGTAGATCTGATGCGGTGTTGTAGCATTTACCTCCGACAAGTCCAATAATAATTTTTCATAGTGAATATTTCAAAAAGGAAATTACAATTAAATTAATTTCCATTATTTATTTATTTATTGATTATTGATAACACTACTCGACAAAATCGAACTTTTTTTTTCCTCAAGGATCCAAACCGACTTTTTCTGATAGATATGGGGATTTAAAATTTTTTAAAGAATTATGGTTTTTTTTCTATGGCAGAACTTTTTTTTGAAGAATTTTTGAAGTCTGGTATTTTTTTTAAGCTTTTTTCAGAGTTAGCGCTTGTTTTTTTCACATAGCTCTAGTATCTTACGTCTGGTTGTAAAAAACTTTGCTATTTTGAAAAGATAATTAAAACAGCTAGGAAAAAATGAACAAAAAATACCTTTTGGAAGGTTGCGGGCCCAACTGCCAATTGGGAACAAAGCAAACGAAAAAGGGTTGTACATTTGGTACCTGATCGCGATCCCGATTCCCAATTGGCAGTTGGGCTCGCAACCTTCCAAAAGGTATTTTTTGTTCATTTTTTCCATATTTTAGGTTTGGTTAACGAATTTTATCTCCAAAGTCTCTCCATAGATTTTAATAAGCGATACCTTAAACGACGCCAAATTAATGCACCTCTACACAAAAAAATAGAGAATACAGGATATAATTTTTTTTCGACTTTTCATGAGTTTTTAAAGTCAAAACTTCCTAAAAAATACCGCACAAAAATCATCATTTTTGCATTTCAATGCATTATATTTCCCAGACGGTAAGCTGTAATTACAAAGTGTTTGGGCTAGCTGTTTTAATTATCTTTTCAAAATAGCAAAGTTCTTTACAACCAGACGTAAGATACTAGAGCTATGTGAAAAAAACAAGCGCTACCTCTGAAAAAAGCTTAAAAAAAAATACCAGTTTTCAAAAATTCTTCAAAAAAAAGTTCTGCCATAGAAAAAAAAAAAATATCATCAAACCATTTCTAAGCCCCAAATCTTTAAGAAAAAGTTCGTTTTGTTCCTTGAGGAAAAATCGTGTTGACTAGTGTAATCAAAAGATCTCGATTCCAAAAAATATGTTATTATCATGGAGCATAAGACACTCAACACTACCACATCATAAGCATTAGTTCGATCAAGTACGTAAGACTCTCACTTGATTTGGGCTTAAGCATCTATAAAGTCAATGTCATATTCAGTGTCTCGTATGCTACGCATTTAATATCAGTTTATTCAGAAGTATACCAGAATTTGGAACCGGACCAACCTCCTCATACACCTCGTTGAATTTCCACATCTGTTTAAACGCGGGCAACGAGCTGTGGACAGATCCACCCATCCAGGAAGCGAACTGACGATGGGGTGGTGCCATAATCCTGACCCTCATATTGCAGCGAGCTAGTCCGGCGATCTACCGCTTCAGGCGCTCGGCAAAGCAAGGAAGCTTCGTGGTGCCCCCCGACACCATGATGTTGTAGACCATTTCTCGCCGGACGTTCTCGTCGCACTTATTGATGGAGTCGCAGACACTTTGGTGAAGGCCCACGGGAGCTCTGCCCAGGACGGTGGAGTCAAACAGTGCTTCCGGGCACCGGATGCTCAGATCGGCAATGGAAATTACTTGTCCCTCTGGCAGAGTGTACTTTTTCTCCAGTTGGGTGCTGAATTTCTCTAGCTCCTGCTGAAAGTCCCTGGCCACGAAGCACAGCTTATCCTTCATGTCACGCACAAACCCACGCTCGGACAGGCAGATGAAGGAATAGCTGTAGCCCCTCTCCGTCAGTAGCTTCATGAGGTACTCCGTGAGATCGCGCCCGGCCCAGTCTAGAACCCCTATGGCACGGGGCAGGGCATAGCCTTCGTAAATGGGAACGGCATGGGAGTACCCGTCGCCAACGTCCAGAACGATTCCTGTGGAGCAACCCGAGGAGCAACCCGAGGCCAACACCTGCTGGCTGGCCACATACATGGCCGGCACTTCCAATGTTTCAAACATGATTTGAGTGGCCTTCTCGCGATGGCGCATGGTGGTCCTGGGCGCCTCCGTCATCAGAAGGGGATAGTCCGTGGGAGAAATGCGCAGCTCATTGTGGAGCGCATGATGCCAGACCTTCTCCAATCCTTCCCAGTCGGTGCTGAGGCTGAATGGGATAACTCAGTTTCAGCACAGCGCGCTTGGAGTGGGCCAGGTCCCCCACGTACGAGTCCTGCAGGCCCTGACGAGGAGTGCCGACCACCGTGGGGAAATTCATTCGAGGCGTTTGATCACCGGAAAATCCGACTTTGCACACGCCAGATCCGCAATCGAGGACCACGATCGAAACATCGTCGTCACACGTGGGGTTGCAGATTTATCATTAGATTTCTATTTAAGAGCAGAAGGAGGCGGAGGAGTTGGCTAAATACAAAATTTTTCGTGAGCCGATATTTGTGAACATTATCTTTGTTAGACAATCAATCGGAGAGTAAAGAAAGGTACAAAGCAAACGAAAAAGGGTTGTACATTTGGTACCTGATCGCGATCCCGATTCCCAATTGGCAGTTGGGCTCGCAACCTTCCAAAAGGTATTTTTTGTTCATTTTTTCCATATTTTAGGTTTGGTTAACGAATTTTAGCTCCAAAGTCTCTCCATAGATTTTAATAAGCGATACCTTAAACGACGCCAAATTAACGCACCTATACACATAAAAATAGAAGACACAAGATATAATTTTTTTTCGACTTTTCCCGAGTTTTTTAAGTCAAAACTTCCTAAAAAATACCGCACAAAAATCATCATTTTTGCTTTTCAATGCATTATATTTCCCAGACGGTAAGCTGTAATCACAAAGTGTTTAGGCTAAACTTCTAGCTGTTTTAATTATCTTTTCAAAATAGCAAAGTTCTTTACAACCAGACGTAAGATACTAGAGCTATGTGAAAAAAACAAGCGCTACCTCTGAAAAAAGCTGTAAAAAAAAATACCAGTTTTCAAAAAAAAAGTTCTGCCATAGAAAAAAAAAAAATATCATCAAACCATTTCTAAGCCCCAAATCTTTAAGAAAAAGTTCGTTTTGTTCCTTGAGGAAAAATCGTGTTGACTAGTGTATTTTATTGATTAAAATCATCTTATTCCTGGAAACTGCCCTGCCATCATGCTCAGATACCTTCTATCCAAATATTTGGCATACACAATTTGAATGTTTGTTCTATTAGTGAATCGTTTTTCCCAGCTGAGTTTAAGCAAGTGTCATGTCAGCATAAAAGGAGGAAAAGGAGGAGAACTTCACCAAGGAGAGTAGGTAAAACAGCTGGAAAGTTACTCCACTCACGCACGGACAGGACACAGACTAACATTTATGAATGGGTGTCTGTCGCTCAAGTGGCCTAATGTGAGAAGCGTGGGCGAAGCAAAGGGCAACGAAAGAGAGAGCGAGAGAGCGAGAGGGAGCGAGATTGTTGGGTGTAATGAAAGTTTAAGTCGTTTTGCTCCCTCTGCCTGCCAACGCAGTGACCGACGAACGGCAGGCAGAGGCTTTAGGGTCCTGCGGAATGAGGTACAGTACTTCCCCTTTTGGTAGTTGGCAAATAAATTTCATTTCATTTTCATAAGTATAATTCTGGCGCATTGTGCCACAGTTTTTTGGCGTCATAAAGTTTATCATAATATTTTGGGGTTTTCCTTTTCCTACAAAACACACGAGCTTGTGTGGCTGTGTGTGTGTGTGGAGTGGCATGCATAAACAGGAGACAACTTATTGTTATGGTAAATGCCACATTTTTGACAACGAAATGTATGAGCTTGTTATGATGTACAATGGGAGGGAAAAAAGGAGCATTAGGGAGAAATAAATCATTCATTTTTTGTTGGCATTAGAGTTAGCATCATTAATAAGAGATGTGTGGGTCATGGAAAGACCAAAAGAAGTGGTATTACTAGTGAAAATTAAAGCGGGAACAAATCGTTAATAAACTGACATTAAATAAGTGTTGTAGCAGGGTAGAATCTACGATTCGTTCCTGCAGACTCCAAAGCGTATGGTTCCAAATAAGAAGAAGTAGTTGGGGTAGGTAATTCTTCTTTGTATTTAAATATGTAAGCTAGGAAATTGACTCTGTGTTGTTGCGCCTGGTTTGTATCGAAGTATGAACGTAACTGTGATTTGGGAGGCTAGCTACAAGCTAGAGAGAGCCGTGTGGATCGCAGGCGGCAGCGTGAGAGCGATAACAGTGCGCTGTTAGCAAGAGCGGCAACCGCCTGTTAGCAAGAGCGGCAAGACGACTGTTAACACTGGCTTGCTAACAGCGCTGCTGTCCTGCAAAATCAGCAATCAAAATTAAAACTAAAAATCCTAGTATTTGCTGTTCCATCCACCTCATAAATATACCATTTAATTTTCGTATATTTCGTATTAATAGAAATTGTTTCCTGCAAGCAGCAAAAGTCACATGTAATTACACGTATTGCTATGACGCACAAAAGTTCATTAAACGATTGAATAACTCGTTGCCCTTGTGCACCCCCGCACAGTAATTACAAGCCCAAAAGGCACATTCAAACATTCTGTTCAAGTGTGACATAAACAGGTCCCCAAGCACGTGGCCTAAACAGCGCCTACACAGGAGCCAAATGAAATGACATGACTGACATTCACTTCATTCCAATCAATAGTTGAGCAAATGAGTTGAGCGCTTTTTAATCACATAATTACAGGGAATCAAACCACAGAGAGAGAGAGAGAGAGAGAGAGGGAGAGGGGGAGAGGGAGAGGGCTGTGCTGTGCTGTGGGACATGCAAATGAGAATTCCTCACTCGTTGGCAATCTTCACGCATTGCCAGGGCGCGCACTGGGAAGGATTATAAATATGAATTCATTTTAGGACAGGCAATGGTGCAAGGACAAGTGTAATTACGCAAACACATGGACACGCAGACACGCAGACACACAGACACTTGCCACATGGACATTTGGGTGTTGGTGTTGGTGTTGGTGCTGGACGGACGTTCTGCTCTCCGGCCTGGGTCACGTTGGCTTATTTTCGCTTAATGTTTTATGCACAACTAAATACAAATGCGCTTTAATGAGCGAAACTCGAACCGACCATGCGGTTAATTTATTATGCACAACTCGGTTTCACACACACATAGGACATATGTATGTCCTATCCAGCCTTCTATCCGGCAGTGGCTGGGGGTTGGGGCAGGATGCTTTCGGTAAAGGATCACTAATAATGCGGCATTGTCGAGGCATTAAATTGCCTATGCGTCCTCGTCGTCGTCGTCTGGTGTGGCATAATGGGTGGGGGGGGAGGTAGTAAACCGCAGCAAGTCGACTTGAATGCATGTAACAATTACTCTCGCTCGCTCTCGCCCGCTCTCCCATGGCCCCCACTCAGCTGACAGCAGCCACACTGCAGCAGCAGCGGCAGAGTCATAAAATGCAGACAGCAACAAAAACTAACAGAAAAAAAAAACTGATACAACAATAACAGCATAAACCACATGGCATAGTTTTTGGGGCATGTGGCATGCGGACTTAACCGCAAAAACAAGGCCAAGCCGGAACGGAAACTATGCAGAATCGAGTGCGATGGCAGGAACTAGTTCAATCGTTCAATGTGCACTCGAAACTTTTAGAAGGCGGCTCTGCTGCTGCTGCTGCTGCTCTGCTTCTCTGCTGCTAGGGTCATAGGTCATGCATGCATGTGGTCACCGCCAAATCCGATTAAAGTTCTTAACAATCGTTATGGAAAGACTCATAGCAAATGTGCCCCTGTGTCACCCATTTTAAACTGAAATATGTAAAAGCGAAATTGGCAGCTCAATTTAAGTTTCGTTTCGTAGCACACAAATCGAAGCAGGCTAATGCAACACAGTTATTATTTTCATATATTTTGGAGTACTCGTATTTATAGTATACACAAAATCGAATGCACCGAATCATGATGGTGCACAATTTGTGCTACTTTGCGCGCAAATATTTACAAATTGGATACCCCGGATGTGATTACTATTCGATTTGGGATTTTACAACACTGACAACGACGGCCAGCAGCCTTTGGCAACTCTTCACAGACGCCTTGGACGCACATTTGCCGCTGGCCATTTGGTATATGCTCGGAGTCAGCATCTGGGGTTTGGTGAGTCGACAAATGGAACTAACTGACCAGTAACTGGCTTTGTGCATCTCCCCTTTCAGGTGCACACCTGTAATCAGGTATTTGGAAGCAGCGATCTGTCGAAGATCCGCTGGCCCAGGACCCATTGGGTGGACTTGAGCGACAGAATGCAGCATCGACTGTGGCTGGCCAGTAACTGGCTAATGATTCCAGCGTGGACCTGTCTGCTGTATGCCATCGTTTGCGTGAGTATCGAGGATCTAGCCCCCATGCTTGCCCCCTTTATTTAGCATCATCTGCAGCGGCAGCCGGACTTCAGTTATCCCTGGCTGATCATTTATGGAGCCATTTTGCTGATTGATATTCTCTTCCTGGCCCGTGCTCGCTGGGGCATCCGCTTTGGAATTCTAGCCAGTTATGTGTGGCCGCTGTTCAATGTTTTGTGCGTGAACAGCTTGAGGATTGGCGCAGAGGCACTGGAACACTAGACTGGATCAGGGCTCCAATTTTATAATTAGTTTGCAAAGTAATCTTCGTTTTTCAATGGAACCTTTTGGAAGCTTTTGGAAACCGTTTCTAAGCAGAAATAAAATTGTGCAGCATAAACGGAAACTGAAACTAAAGCCGTAAAACGAAATGGTTGGTTGCATGCTCTGTTTCCTTGTTGTGTTTTTTTTTTTTTTTGTCTGTGTGTGTGTACATTTTTCATGCCTCGTTAGAGATAGTCCCAAAAAATACACACATATGTGTGTACATACATACATACATATGTATATATATTATATATACATGGTCGCCTGATGTGTGAGAGTTTTGCGTGTAAGCGCTGACTAAGCCAACTCATGCAAGTTGGGTTTTGCTGTGAGGGGATTTAGGTGGTGGTGGCGGCATGAAAGGAGCACAGCACACCCCATGTGCAGCTGCAACAACGTGTGTGGCAAACGTGTTGAAACTAAAAGGATTTTAAAAGCTAACGAAAGTGACGGCGAAACTTGATCTTCACCAATGAGATGTTTAGTGTCGATAGGTGGAGGGAGGGGACTACAAAATGCAGCAGGGGAGAGGGAAAAAATATTTCAACTACTATGTTGTTAAGCATACCCTCCAGTTAAGCTTTAAATATCCTTCTCCACCATTCGAATTATACATCAGGGCCGTAACAGTCCACTCTCCTATAACAGCCTGTGGCTGTGTCTGCTCTCCACTAACAGTCTGAAGAGCTGCTCATGGTTACAGCGCACTGTTAGCGCACTGTTAGCGTACTGTTAGCGCACTGTTAGCGCTCTCTCACAATCCACACCACACGCATCCAAACCAATCTCTAATTTCAATCAAAACATGCCATGTACTCTGCACTAGTTTCAGAAATCAGATGCCGCTAAAGCCACAGCCACATACTTCTAGTCACTTCATTAATGGGGCAGACCAAAATCCAACAATAGTTAAGGGAACATGTAACATTTTTGAAAAATTCAACAAGCCACGCCACGTGTAATGTAATCCGTTATCTTGGCTTGACTAACAAAGTGGAAGGCAAAATCCGCCATGACAACAGGCAAAATCCTTTCAACTATTCGATGAAAGGTAACAGAGTAAAACCGCACACCGACACCACAGTGCCACACACACTCGCACACACACACACACACACACACACACACACACCACACACACTCGCACTCGCACTCGCACACTCCCTCACACTTCATTCACACACAACTTTAATAGCGAACACTTAATGGCTGATTATTTTCAATGCAAGTCGTCGGTTCAGTTTAAGCTCATTTTTAGTTTCAGTTTCGGTTTTGGGATTCCGCTTAGCTCTTTCGTTTCGTTTGGCGTCGCTCGTTAGCTCATTTGCAGCTCATGTAACTTTTCATTAGAAAAAATGAATTTAAATTTTAAAATGAATATTTAAGCTTGTGCATAATGCACATGGACAGCCATTAACGCTAATGACGTCATGAAATTCAATGCACACCACACACCAGAGGCACAGGCCAAGGACCAGCCCCAGCCCCAGCCCCAACGCCAGTGGACGATGACGACGCCCACTGATGATAGTGAGGAGCGAGCCATGAGACGAGCTCTCAGTCTTTGCCACAAAATGGGGCAACATAATTGTTGGCCTCAACTTACCCTCTCGCTTTCCTCTCGCTTAGTGCGGAAACATTTGTGCGGCCGGGCCGGCCAGATATTGGAAACTTTCGAACAAAAAGCCCCATCCATTATAATAAGCGCCCTTCTAGAGGGTAGCCAAAACCAATTGTGCATTGCTATTGCCATTTCTTAGGGCTGTACATTTCGTAAGAAATTATTCTAAAATTAATATGCGTAAAAACTATATTCGAACTATCGTCTGCTGCTCGTACGTGCTGCTATGATTGGGAATTCGCCTGGGAGGGAATTTGCGCTCACTAGTTTTTGTTTTTTCTGCAGCTCACATTTATATGGAGGAGTATCCTTAGCCGCAGTTGCTACATTTCTTCAGCTCAGAGTCTTCAAGCTACTGGTATTTATTTTATTTATTTTGTATTATTGATAATTTTATTTTATTTATTTATTATTTTATTTATGGTAACTCTTCAGTCTTACCTGAACCTTAACCTAGAAGAGAGTTAAGCTCTCTTTATCTTTGCCCAAAGGTTCAATAACTGTAAGAAACTCCGTTCTTTTGTTTCATTATTATTTCACTCTCTGCCCACCGTTTCCTTTTATTTTCTCTGCTCTAGGGTATTCCACAGACGACTACTTTTAACTCCACTCTCTAGTCCACTTTCCTTTCGGCCAAATATGCATGTGCGCGTGTGTGTGTGGTCCTATCTGTTCCCATTTCTGGTTCGTTGCACGTCAACATTATCCGAGTCTCCGCAATTCGCCAGTTTTTGACCAGCGCAGCATATGATTTTAATGACATCTGCCACATGCTCGCCAAAGGCCAACTTTCATGGCAGTTGAAACAAGCTCAAAGGTTAAGAGCCGACCGAAAAAATGTACAAAGAGAGGAAGAACTTTTATGCTCGCATATGGGCACAAGAATTGGTAACGGGGGGAGTCCCCGTGCCCGTACTTTTTTCATTATTGGGCCATAACAAAGAGGAAGTGCCTGCTGGCTGTGTGACAAAGGGGCGGGCGGATACAGCGAGAGGGAGAGGGGCAGGGAGAGTTAGAGATAGATAGAGGCATTTGTTGACAGTGCCTGGCATCACTGTGTTGACCTGACTTGGCACGACTTCCTTGCCATAGCTGCCGTTTGTATGCCAAATGCTTATGTTTTATTTACAGACCCCAAAAAACTTTTCAGAGTGAGCCAGCCAGCAAATCTAGCATCAAATCAATTGTTCGAAAGAGACATCACACACATAGGTGCATGTGTGCATGGGAATATCATAAATAAAAAAATTATAAAAAGATTTAAAAACATAAACATATTTTCTATAAGCTAGCAGGCAGCACCATTGGCATCTAATTGTTTTAAAACTCAACCAAAAACAAATTAAGAGTTCCCAAAACTGCAATATAACACTCAGTTTCGCTCACTATTAAAAAGAGAGCCAAGAAAGGCACTTCAACGATACCTTCCCTGACCTGAAAATTTTACCAAATTTCCTTGGGGGCTCATTCTTTTTCGTTGGCCCCTCGACAAGCTATTTGGGCACTGCCATAAACTTATCTGGGGAGCTTGCAAAATATAATTAAACAAGCGCAAATTGAAATACGCAACGTGCAGTCAGCCAAATATTATCAGAAAATAGTCCCAAAAAAAAAAGCTATACACAAGAACTTGCTTGCCTGCTTGCTTGGAAACTTTGTGCTGCAAATATTAAGTGCCTGGTGGAGGAGCGGATCCCACGACTTGGGCTCCGCAACGAAGCTGCAACAACTTCCTTTCTTTTCGGGCTACTTACTGGGTTTAACTGGTAATTGCAGTGGGGGCTGTGGGTGGGGGTGGGAATTGCCACGAATGGCGGCACCGGCATAATAGCCTCTGACCCTGGAACACAACTCAATTTTATTTTGGCGGAAATTTCGTTGCAAAATTCAGTTATTAAAGTTAAGAGAGCGAAACCAATGAACAGGAAGAACTCTGGCTGGTCTATGCAAACATGAACTAGCATTTCAAAAGGATCCTTGAGCAGGGAATAATTTCTTCAAAGCGAAATGCTTCTCCTTTCGATCGAAGGACGATTTCAGTCCATGAAACGAAGACCTTTTTTCAACAGTCGTATTATTATTATTATTTATTATTATTATTGGTTATTATTTGTAATTAAATCTGGAGGTTCCCGGCATTGGGACCTTCTCCAGTAGACCTAGCCATGATTATTCAACTCTCATGACAGGGTCAAGTTCCACCGACAAATTATACGATTTTACCCCAAAAACGGAGTATAATCTTTGTAAAAATTAAACGACAATTTATAGCTTCCAACAGCAAGTAACATCAGCAGTAGAAGAGTTAAGGAAAACCCTGCCAAGAGCCTACTTAATAAGCCATAATTTATAATCTGCTATTTTGTATTCTCTGAAGAGTGTGGCATCTATCTATCCACACACGAGTAAGTACACTCGCATGCAACTGAACTGTTTGCCCTATCTGTCTGATTTTCCATTTATTTTATAAATATTTAATAATATCGACAATCGAACTTTTGCATCTTTCAGCAGCTTTCAAACTGAATTTGTCGTTGACAACGTCAGAAAGGGCACACAGCACGCACACACACAGCACACACAGCACACACAGCAAAGAGCAGGGCAAAGAGCAATAACAATAAGAGAAAGGATATGGAAATGGACAACATCATCATCCGCATCCTCATCATCGTTGGTGCACGAGAGCAAAATAAATTTTAAATTGAAATCAATAATTTACATTGGACTTTTCGGTAGCCAGCACTCAGATGTGCAAAGTCCCCCCCTTATCCTGGTGCATTGATTGCCATATGGCATTGATGAAATGCTCAATTTGCCTGTGGATTAATGTATAATAATTGTATGGCCATTCGAGTGCAGTGCGATGGCAGCAACTAGTTCAATGTGCTCTCGAAACAGGACTTTTACAGGGGCTGCTGCTGCTGCAAAGGTCATAGGTCATGCTGTGCTCGCTGCGGTATGCGCTTCGGCATTGCAACCACTTGTCTGGTGCCGCTTTTTAACCTGCTCCTTGCAGCTTCTTGAGCACTAGATCATTACAATGGCGCCCTGGAAACCATAGCCAAGTAAATAAAACTTAAATTTAAATCAACAATTGAACTGTTCCGGAGCCAGCACTCAGATGCGAAAAGTCCCCTGGTCTGGTCCTATTGCATTGATTGCCATATGGCGCATTGATGAAATGCACAATTTTTGCCTGTGGATTAATTTGTAATAATTGTATGGGTCCGACAGCATCCCACTGCCAGTGCTGTGCATATTTTGGTGCAGAGAGATTTGGTGTAAGCCGTTGAAAATAAATCAAATAGCTGGAATGCAGATGTTCTGTTTTCTCTCCATAAATAAAATGCTTGAATAAATTGTGCGGCAATGTGAATGCATGAAGATAAATGCCAAATACTAACCGAAAATAAAAGTGAAATAAACATATTTAGTAACTCAACAACAACTGCAGACAAGTT